AGCAAACAAAGAAAACCCAAAAAAAAATTTTTTTTTTATAGCATGGATCACTGTAGCGCGTCTGAGTTCCTGTAGCAAGTTACTGTAGCAGGCGTGCTTGACTTGTATCCTCACTTAGACCAGAAATGTGACCCAAATTTAGGTAGGGTAAGGCCTTAACAAGGTATAAGTGGATGGTTTGTGTCTCTCAATTCAATTTAGGTAGGTGATGACTTAGTATGTAGGTTGTCCAACAATGTTTTTTGTGTTTTCTCAAGATAAGATCCCAAATCAAGTCAAAATATGATATCCTTCAATTGAATATAAGATAGACTATCAATAAATTCCCAAATCAAGTCAAAATGCCTTTAGGTTGTCCAGCAATTGTGTCTTCCAATTTCAATCTAGGTAGATATTGACTTATTTTTTTTATTAGCAAATCAAGAAATAAGCAAACAACAAGAATATTCAAAGATAGATCTTGAATTAGTCAAAGGGTAACTAGAAAATGATGCAAACAATAAGAAGATACAAAGAGAAATTGTCTAGACATTATTATCTCTTTAGATCTTGTTGGGTCTAGACAATTTCTCATTAGATCTTCTTGGATCTAGAATTTTCTTGTTAAATCTTCTTGAATCTAGTTTTGCCAAATAGCACACCCGGGCCGTGCTTCCCTCTGACTCTCACGAGGGAACTCCTACATTGAAGCACGCCCGTGCCAAATAGCACACCCAGGCCGTCTCAAATTCCTAAACTAGAATAAAGAAACTTACCCCCAACTTTGAATTTGGCTCTGATAACCTGATAACGGAACTCGGGATCGGAAATCAAAAGGAATGAGATTAAAAGTTCGCCTCTAATGGCACCCCACGTTTATAAGGGAAACGGAAAACACCAATAATCGAAGATTAAAAACCCCCCGCTCTATGGCACCCCACGTTATAAAGGATAATGGTAAACACCAATAATCGAGCCAAAGAACAAGATAAACGCCACAACGAGTTTTTTACCTTAATTCTTGATGCAATTAGAGAATAGCAAATTCTCACAATCACTCTAATTAAGAAGAACATGCAAGAGCATGAACAATTCTGCCTTTGATTCAAATTATGCCAAAAATCTCGTTTTACATATTAAGGAGGCTATTTATATGCCTTAAACAAACATAACCCTAAAGAAGAGCATCTAACTAGGCTGCCCTAGGGCCAAAACACAGGGGCTTAACTCTAAAACACAAAATAAAGTCATTTCCAGCCCAAAACAAACAACTTGATATTGGGCAGATTGCATGCATCATAAAACCAACCCAAAACAAATAAAACCAACCCAAAACAACTTAAAATAAACACTATGAGCCCAATATCCTTAACATATTAATTAGACCAAAACAAGCACCGGGAATAAGAAACATATCCCTTACATATTAATTAGACCAAAACAAGCAACAAGGGATAAGAACACGTCCAAGCCCACTAGGAAGCACCAATGGATCCATATCACTTAGGGGTGATTCTGACAATCACAGCAATTCCCCAAGTCGCAAAGGGCCACGGTGTATACATAGGATGAAGAGCTATGGGGGGGATTTTTTGAAGCTTGGCATAAATCTGACATTTATGACATTTCTGAACAAACCTGGCACAATCTGATTGCATGGTAAACTAATAATAACCCTGATTGGTGATCTTAAGGGCTAGAGCCATTCCATTCATATCGGGGCCTTCTTCGCCGGTGGTGTACCCATTCCGTTATCTGTTGAGCTTCTTCTATTACACACTTAAGATGTGCCTGATTCCATGTCCTTTTATACAGAATACCATCCTAACCTTTTGATAACTCTTGGAGAGTCCTTTTGTCATATTTAGAGGCACCCTTAGGGTACTCCTCCTTTTCCATTCAAGTTTGAATATCCCAAAACCAAGGTTTGCTGTCAACGAGTTGGAGATTGCAACAGTACGCCAACTATTGATGAATCTAAATATTCAAAGGTTTGATAACCATGCCTGGACTGGCATCAACCATGAAGGCAAGAGTAGCCAATGCATCGAAAAACTGATTCTTAGACCGGGGTAAGTAGTGGAATGATAGTTCTTCAAACTGTGGAGCCAATTAGTTGAGGCGTTGAAGGTAAGGAATCAAGCGTTGCTCTTTGATCTTCCACTTCTTCAGTGCTTAAGAGACTATCAAGATAGAGTGCCTGTAGATTGTTAGACGCTTGATTTGAAGGCTCAGTGCTGCTTCTAGTCCGATGATACAAGCTTCATATTTTGCTTTATTATTAGTGACCTAAAACATTAATTTGATATTGAAAGGTAGTCGCTCCCCATCTGAAGTTACTATGACTACCCCGTTACCGTAACCCTGGTAATTAGCAGCCCCGTAAAAATACATCTTTGATGTGTCTGATTGGATCTGGAGGATGTCTTCATCTGGAAATCTGATGTCTGCTACTTCAACATTTCCTGGTAATGCTGCAAGTTGATCTGCTATCACACTGCCTTTGATTGTCTTCTTTGTAACAAACTGTGGATCAAATGCTACGAAGATGGTGGCCCATTTGGCCATTTTACTGTCTAGAACTGGTCTCTCCATAAGGAATTTCAAGTGGCTCTAGTCAACTATGACATGGGTAGTGTAGGAGCAAAGGTAGTGCTAGAGCTTATGCATAACCATGCTAGAGCTAAATATAACTGTTCAATCTTACTGTACTTCAATTCTATAGCTAGCATGCATTTACCCAGATAGTAAACGACGGTCTCCTTGTGAGAGCCTAATGCTTTTTATGCCAACATCACCCTTATGGCTTCATCAGTCACTGAGAGGAAAAGAAGAAGTGGTTTCCCAGGCCTCGGAGGCTAAAGAACTAGAGGATTGAATAGATATGCTTTGATCTGATCATCCCAAGTCTTTAGGGCATTGTTTCTCAATTTCTTAAAGATCGGTCCACAGGTGTTTACTAACTATGAAACAAATCGGCTGATGTATTGAAGGCAGCCTAAGAATCCTCGGATCTCTTTTTCTGTTCTAGGAGGTTGCATATTTAGGATGGCTTTTGACCTTGACAGATCAATCTCAATCCCTCTCATGGAGACCGTGTAGCCCATAAAGATACTCGATGGAGCCCCAAAGAGGCACTTAGCAGGACTAAGTTTCAGCTTATACTGGCAAAGTCTAGAGAAAAACTATTTGAGAGCAATTAAGTGGCTTGGCCCGTCCTTGGTTTGGACAACCATGTCATCAACATACACTTCTATGTTCTTGTGCATCAGATCGTGAAAGATCATGGTAGCCATCCTCTAATAGGTGGCACCAACATTCTTTAGCCTAAACGACATCATTCTGTAACAAAAGGTACCACATCCAGTGATGAACAAAGTCTTTGGCTTATCTGGTGGATTCACTGGTATCTGATTATACCCTGCATATAAGTCTGTAAATGAAATTACACTAGATCCTGTCATTCTATCAACAAGCAAGTCTATATGAGGCAATAAAAAATCATCTTCGGGACACACCTTATTCAGATCTCGGTAATTCATGCAAATTCTGATCTTGCCATCTTTCTTGGGAACCATCACTATATTGGCGAACTAGGTAGGGTAATCAATAACCTTTATGAAGTTGTTTTCCAACAAATTAACTGTTTCTTCTTTAATTCTGAGAGAGATCTCCGATTTTTATCTTCGAAGCTTTTGCTTTACTGGCTTGATGTGGTCATATGTAGGGATCTTATGAACGGCGATGCCAAGACCTATACCAGTCATGTCACTAGATGTCCATGCAAAGCAATCTAAGTACTACTTAATGAGCTCTGTCAACTCATGTTTACAATCACATTCATGTAAAACAAATGTATGTTTTAGTTTATTTTCTATGCCAATGTTTATTTGTCTCTTGTTTTTTTTATTTCTTTTTCATTTTCTATTTTGCCAGCAATCTCATTCAGGCTAGAGAGAGAGCAACAAGAAAATAAATTTTTTTATTAGAAATAAAAGTGCCATGGTCGACATCTACATTCAGCTTAAAAAAAGGTTTCCTAGCTTAGAAAGAGAAGACAAAGAAGACTCGAAAGACTTAGAAGACTCTAAACTAAACTCTGACTCAAGTTCTGTTTGTGACTCAAACTCAGGTTCAGGCTCGAGGACAGTGAATTGCTCTATGCTCTCTTCCAAGTACCAATTCTGGAGGGATGCCGGATAGGTTGAATGAGGCTTATGGGGTTTACTTCCACTTAATTGGTTATCATACATAGTTCAAAGAGAGAGGCCTCAATGTTGTCTTCCTAGGTCTAGAGTTTGAAAAGAGGCTCACAGTCTTCTACTGAGAGCCTGACATAAAACGGAATTTCAAAACCAGGTATTAGTCTTTTAGTCAAGGTGTAACACCCGCCGCCCAGCCCCAAGAGACCCAGCGGCGGATGCCACATTCGGTGCCGGAGACACCGTCCTAACATAACATATAAATCATAAAATTAGTTCTTTTAGTCAAGGTGGTAACACCGCCGCCGCCCAAGAAGACGCCAGCGGCGGATGCCACATTCGGTGCCGGAGACACCGTCTAACATAACATATAAATCATAAAATCAGATTATGAATTAGAAGTGATTAAGTTATTGACAATCTTAGCGAGTAATTTTTTCAATTTTGTTTTGAAAATATAATTATAGTATATAACCTTATGAAAAACAATTTAGGAAAAATCCTACAGCAAGAACTGCAAGAGTTTTCCCTTAAAAACCGAGCTCGCCAAACATGTGAATACAAAACTCCCAAATTTTAAACTCTATAACCCCCAAGCAAACTCCAGTAATCACCATAGCCAACACAAAAACAACACTTCTATAGCTTTCATAACTATAGAAACCCTCAAAATAGCATTTAAATGATCATCAATTAAATGCATTCATTATATATATATATATATTATATCAAGTCCTTATGTTCTTAATCATACGAACTATCTTAAACATATTTTATATCCAAACATTAAATAAAATCTCATGCTTATCTCTAAATATATACACCAAACTAATTTATCATTACATGCTTAAGTTATAATTCAAATAACATAATCTCCAAAAATGTAATAATTATACATGCTATGATTCTTAAGTACATCAAACTAATTCTACCACTACTAAAATAGTCGCTTCTGGTCTGAAGCTACTCTTCTGATATTCAAGTAGCAACCACGGACTTCAACCTGCGCGTGATAAAAATGAACGCACTGATTATAAAACTCAATGGTGCTCATAAATGACAAACTTACCAATGTTGCACTGGCAACACACTTAAAATATAAATTTTCATCAAAAGAACGTACATTTACATTTATAGCAAAAGAAATATCAAATAAACTTATAATTAATAACCAAACTTATATTAATTTAACATAAATAATTTTAATTTCTTCCATTCATAAATTTATTACTTGGACATTTATTATACCAAATACACATACCTACATTTATTTTAAAAACCATGTAATCGGAAATATCATGCCTTTGGAAAATTATTTGAGAACCTTTAATCCATTTATTTCCAAACTAAGGTTTACTGAAATAATATTAATCTATATCATATTTAAGTGCCTTTAAAAATATTTTCGAAGGGCTCGCATACACTTAGGAAGAAAGAGAGCAGATAGGTTTTCATAACTTAATTCCATAATGGCCCTTATGTACAATTTAAATAACATACAGGGGGAACGGGAGTTGGAAAAATGCCATGCCTTCCAATCTTATTTCTCCCACACGGCGGATTCCGTTGGGTAATAAAATTCCGACATCTGTTTCCTAGGAATTGGTCTAATTCGGACAACCAACAGGGGATTTTGGAGATTTGACGATATCAACTCTCGAAAATGAATGCGGCATAGTAACAGCAAACAGAATTGGTGTGCACCTTAGGGGAAGTAACTAAAGGTGTCAAAATATATGCATTGGCTTTAGTCTTATTGGGGCTTTAAAACAAAGGTCTAGGTTTCTGCCAAACAGGATTCGGGCTTTTGTTGGGCCTACTCCCTTTTTGACGCACCTTTAAGGTACTAGGCTTGCGGTTGGTAGAATGTTAATTCTCGAATGGATGCAACACTAAAACGCATGGTTTAGGCTAGATCCACCGTCAAACTTAACACCATACCGGAAGGGTAAGTATGGGGTAGAATGAGGTGAAGAAAGCAAGGGAATGGGAGCGAATGAATGCAAAAATCCTAGGAAAGGAAAAGAAAAGGATTTAAACACATACGGACAGTTAATAATTTTCCATCGGCTTTTTCTAACCAATTTTTATTTAGAAATAGTAGGCTTTTAGAGTTAATTTCTAATTGCAACTACTATATTGTTTATTAAAAACAACCGGGGATAGTGGGTGCAAAATCCCCAGTGAAGTCGCCAAACTATTTTTCCCCCCCGGAGAAAGATCGAAGATTTTTCTTTATTTGGTGTACTTGAATATTTTATTAAAAAAAGTGATAAAACCCTTTTGGATGTGCGATGCCGATGAATCGGTCTTATAAATTGTTTTTTAGTCGCCTTGAGATTCGCTACCCCATTTTCGCAATGGGGACCGTTTTCAAAATTTTATCTTTATAAAAAGTGGACTTCCCATTTAAACCTAATTTTATTTCAAAGGCCTATTATTTAGAAAAACTGGTCCAGGAGAACCAATGAGGTTCTAAGGTAGGGAAATTGGGTACGTCGGTCGTTGGAACCGACACCCGGAAAAAAAAAATCAGCCTCTTTTAGCCTCTTTTAACCTACGATTTCTAAAATGATTTTATTTTAGAGAAAGCCAATTTATTTGAACCCAACCCGAATGAATCGAACCGAGTTCCTATGTGGAAAAGTAATTAACTGTCCCAATTAAATTCATCCATTGCATTCATCACAAATAAGATATATCATCCACCATCTATCCACAACACGTACTAAAATAAAAGAGAAGACTCGCTCTTGCCTTATAATTAAAGGCGGGCCACAAACCGAATTTGATAACATGATAAGCAATAAGTAAAAAGAAGTAAATCCTAAAACCTCAAAATCATTAATAATTAGTTAGTTTTGAATTGATTTGATTCAAATCTTAATTTGCCCATGTTTGATCAATTTTCCTTGAGTTAAAATTAAAATCTGTTTAATTGTATGAAAATTAACGTGGAATAACTAAAATACACTGAAATCATGAAAAGACAGTTGCGTCACGCAGGTGTCCATAAGGAACAGTGCGTGACGCGACTCCCTTCATTCATCCTTTGGAACTTTAGAACAGTCGCGTCACGCGAGTAATCTATGTGAAGAACACTCTGCCGGTGGCGCAAACTTCTTATTGTGCTACTGGAAGATTGGAACAGTTGCTGTCCGCGGCTGTTCCTATGAAGAACGGTCGCGTGACGGAACTCCTAGCTGCGTGACGTGACAGAACTATTCGCGACTTATTAATATTCTCAGTTTTATTGATTATTCACCTGAAATATCACATTAAATACAAAAGTATCCTGGGTTTGCGAATAGGTGCGTTACGCAGGTGGTCCAATCCATATTAAAGACTTTTGGACATGAACAGTCGCGTCACGCAGGTAGTAGCTGCGTGATGCGGCTGCTCTGGTCTGCAACTACCATTCAAATTGTCCTTTTTACGTTTCTTTCTTGTTAACAGAGATTTAATATGATTCAGAAATACTCAAATATGGGCGAAATGTGGTTTAATCAAAACCAAACTAACTAAAATACTAAGAAAATGGGATTTTCACAAATAAATAACTAGTTAAAGAAAAGTGCAAACAAAGGGGTTTAGATGATTACCTAACCCTCAGATTTGAGGATTGCATACGATATGGTCGATCTAAGGATGAAGCTTCACGATTCTCGAAAGATTCAACGTCCAATCTTAACAATAAAAACCTTTCTTTTCTTTTCTTCCTCTCTTACTCTTCTTTATGTCCTTTCTTTTTAAGTTTTCAATCTATGTGCCTAATAGCTTGATCTTCCTCAAGGTTACTCACTGGAGTCTTTGAGGAAAACCCTAGCCACAGTCGTTTTCAGCCACAGTCGTTTTCTTTTTTTGTCTAAAATGCCTTAGTCTTTTTTGAGAGAAAATAAGAAGAGTTTTCAAAGTCTCTAAAAAAAGTCTCGTTTTTGCTGTATAATGCAGTATTTATATGGTTAGGGCGACAGGGCAGTCGTGTCACGCAGGTAGGAGCTGCGTAATGCACCCGTAAGCCTGCGTGACGCAACTTACTTTTAGTACAGTTGCCGCGTATCCATACAAGCAGTGCAGGCCACTGCACGAGCGCGCGCCAAGGGTGTCAGACCCGTTAGAGCTGCGTGACGCAGCAAAAAGTGGCGTCACGCAGGTGATAGCTGCCCGTGACGCAGCCCTTTAACATGGGGTCAGGCTCTCTTTGGGCGGTTTGGTTCGATTTTGATTCAGACACCTCTGGTTTATTGTGAGCCTCATACTTTGTTCCTCATATCATCATCGGTCAGGTGGGAGGCATAAAATTTACGCGTCAACAGTTTGCCCCCCACTTTTAATCATTAATTGGGTATAAACGATTAATGTTAATGTTAAAGTGGTCCATTGACGCGCCTTCTATCAGGCAATCATCTCCGAAGCTCGGTTTGATCGACTTGGAAAGATGCTGAATTAATCATCTGGTTACCTCCTCAGCTCGGTTTGATCGGCTTCGTCGGTTTCCATCCAACGTGTCAATGAATTCAAAGCTCGGTTTGATCGGCTTAGTAGACGGCTTTGGGGCTCGATTTGATCGGCCTGAAGGACTTTGAATGTTTGGTCACCTTCTCAGCTCGATTTGATCGGCTTCGCGGTTCCCATGGAATCTGAAGGGACATCCTCTAAGCTTGGTTTGATCGGCTCGAAAGATGTTAAAGATGTTGATTTGAATGGCAAAGTTTCGAAGGCTCGGTTTGTTCGGCTTGAAGAGCTTTGGATCTGGCCATACTCAGCCAGCTCGGTTTGGTCGGCTTTGTCGGCTCCAGTCGGTTTAGAAAAAGGCATCCTCGAGGCTCGGTTTGATCGGCCCGAAAAATGTCGGTTTTACCCTGGTCAACTTCGCAATTCATCATCATTGACCAGGGGGAAAATTTCAAACAGCTTCGCAACACACCATCACTGCTTTGAAATTGTTCTGATTATTGTTCTGACTAGCTTCGCAATGAATACATCATCACTGATCGGAAGGACCTATCAGCTTCGAAAAACCATCACCGGTTGGCCTGAAAAATTGTTCACCAGAAGAAAGAGAGCAATGTCCGTTTACGAGCAGACTTTGCTTTCTGTTAGAAAAATATTGGAACATCACATGTTCCCATGCATTACTTATGGAAAATTTTGGCGCAAAAATTTTGGCGTAAACGATTTAACAGACAATTTGTTATCTGCATTTTCAGATATACCTTTTATGATATAGTAGTCAAAAGAAAAACTCAATTGAGGGTAATCTAGGCAATTTGATGACCTACCCACTGTGCGATGAGTAGACAAAAAATTGTTGATGTGTACGAGGCGCACATCGACATCAGGTTGCCAGAATGGACCGTTGTGGGCCTTCGAAGTAAGCCGCACGGGCCTGTTGATCTCGGAAGGAGGTGACGGGCCCAAAGCTCTTCTTGGGCTTGGTCAAATGGGCTCGTACCATCAACATCATGTGGTGCGGAATGGGTCGTCGTGAGCTTTTTGAAATGGGGCCGTGTGGCCTGTTCGGGCTCAAAAGGATAATGGGCCCAATGCTCTTGTTCGGGCCCAGTTGGAATGGGCTTCGACCCAGCTGGTTTTAACTATAAAGTAGCTTCCTTCTTAGTCGATTCAATTTTCACTTTATTCACAAACCTCTAAACAATTGGAAATTCTCTGAACCTGTTCCTCTCTGAACTGTTCAACTAGAAAGATGTCTCAAATCTCAGAAATTCCTGCTTCTGCCTACACTCCGGAGATGGAGGTTCTCGGGGCCCTGCCCGACATTCCCATATTTGACGGTGAGCCAGTACCGGTGAGCCGGAACCCGCTAACCCCCGGGACGCAACCATTGCAGCTCCTTCCGTTGCCGGGTTCGGAATTTCCAGTCCGGTACGAGACAAGTCAGATGCGTGGCTTTCGATCCGAGGTAAGTACAAAATTCCTTCGATTTTCTGTTTTTACTGCTTTCGATCCATAATTGTAGCAAATAGGATTATTTTTACTGTTTATGCCTGCGTCGGCAGTCGCGTCACGCAGGTAGGAGTTGCGTGGCGCGGCTGTTCTTCCATGAACAGTTGCGTGACGCAGCTGTTCTTGTGGGAACAGTTGAGAACACGTTGCGGTGACGGCGGCTGTCGAGACGCCAGAAACCCCTAACTTGCCCCTAAACCTTAGGATTAATCTCTTCTTGACTTTGTGTTTTAGATATGAACCTTGGAATTTGTTTAACCTTTTGATTTGTTGAATAACTCTAGATGGTTTGAATTTTGCCCTGTTAAAAATAGTATAAATGTAGTAGAACAAAATTTAAGTTAAACTGCTGCGTACCTTCGACAGTTTAAAGTTAAACTGCTGCGTACCTTCGACAGTTGCGTCACGCAGCTGTTCTTAGGAAGAACAGTTGCGTGACGCGACTGTTCGTCAATGAATGAGAGTCTCAAACAGTTGCGCGACGCGGCTAGAGAGATGCATGGCGCGACTTCGTGGTCGCGTGACGCATCTGTTTCTGGGGCCACACATGTTGAACAGTTGCGTGACGCGACTGTAGAGTGGCGTGACGCGGGTGCTAAGGTGCGCTACGCGGCTATGCTTCTGATTACGTAATTTAGGTAAAGCTGCGTGGCGCGACTTTTAGACGCGTGACGCGACTGGGAGCTGCGTGACGCAGCTATGGTTCCAACCAAAACTCGAGTCTTTTGTTTATCCTGTCATAGAAGAAAATTAACAAAAGAAAATTAACAATTTTATCAGTCTTATATTTATTGGGAAATTGAAATTTTCTTACAGGTTAATCTGGGCAAGGCCCGCTCAGGACGGATCGTCCTACTGATGCTTCTGCCTTCTGGGATCTGCTGGACCTCTATGCGAGCACGGGTTTTGTCGCTGGCAACAAGGTTTCGAGGAACATGCGCTGGAATTGGCGCCGCACCAGCCTCCGTTTCCGCCCGCCTATCCGATAGCCTGATGGGCGGTGGAATGAACCCTGGCACGCATGACTTTCGTGTTCGGGTTCGGAGAAAGATGACGCCTTACTCCCGTGGATTACGCTGCATTCCGGCTTAACGGCTTCACTGGCCCGGTTTCCTCCATTAGACCGC